AGACAGGGTCTCACTATGTAGTTGAGACTGACCTGGAACTCACTATGTAGCCCAGGCTGGTCTTGAACTCACAGCGATCCTCCTGCCTCAGCCTCCCAAGTGCTAGGATTACAGGCGTGTGCCATCACGCCCGGCCTGGAAGTCACCTTTAACAACAGTGACAGGCGCGTCTCACAGGAATTCAACCCTCAGCCAGCCATCTTGGCCACCCACCAAATTTAACCAGGCACATTCTGCTAAAACCTGCATTACTTACTTTTTGTTTTTTGAGGCAGAGTCTCGCTGTGTAGTTCAGACTAGCCAGGAGCTGGCTGTGTAGCCCAGGCTGGCCTTGAACTGAGGGTGATCCTCCTGCCTCATCCTCCCTAGTGCTGAGGTGACAGGCGTGTGCCACGGCACCTGGCTTTCTAACTATATTTTTGAACACCTCTGTATATGACAAATTTGAAATGCTTTACCAACATAAATATAGAAATGTCATGCTTTTGTCAACATGTGTGATGTTTGCAGTGTTTTCCACTGAGAGAGAAAGAGGAGAGACATACTTTAACCAGGTGTGTGTGTACAGAACTCTCTGGGCCATGACTTAGTCCCAGAGTGCTCTTTCTTCCTGGTACGGGAGGTTGTCTTCACAGGGGAGCCTTTTATCTCTGCTGGGGAAGGTCCAAGTGTCCTTCTTACATGAGCTGCTCTGCAAGTGCCTTTAGCACAAAATAGCCCTCTTGCCAACTGTAAGGGTTTTCTTGCACACTGATTATTCCTGAGTACTCTGAGCCCCTCCTGCCCCTCTGGCAGCCGGCAGTCACTGGACTGCACAGAGAAGTGGCTGAGGCACACACATTTCCCCCAATTCCCATGTAACTTAACTCAGGGCCTCCTTAGCAAACCAGAAAGCCCCAGCACCAGGTGACACAGGGGAGGCTGCAAGGAAAGTCTGAGAAGGACTTAGCAGCATGACTGAAATTAAGTGATTGAATTAGTGATAGCAATGAAAATATGTTACTTTACCAGGCACAGTGCAGTATCCTTGTGAGCCCAGCTATTTGGGAGGCTGAGGCAGGAGTCTTGCAACTCCTAATGTGAGTCACAAATTCTCAGAACTAATAAACAGAAAGTCGATTTCTTCCTCCCCCCATTGATGCGTGTTGATCGTCGTTCGGTGCGGAATAAATTGTGTGCAGCTAATTATTATCCCATTTATGCCGAAGATTGCAATCTTTTGTATTTTTGCATGAAATTCATAAATGTTGTTTTTTGGGGTTTTTTTGGGGGGAGGGGTTAGACAGGGTCTCACTATGTAGTTGAGATTGACCTGGAACTCACTATGTAGCCCAGGCTGGTCTCAAACTTGCTGTGATCCTCCTGCCTCAGCCTCCCAAATGCTGGGATTATAGGTGTGCACCACCACGCCACGCCCGGCTCCGGTTTAATGTTTTAAATAAACATTTTTCTTCTTAAGCACTTACTCATCAGGATAAATGGCCATATAACATGTCAGATGACTGTGCCATATTTTGCTTAATTATTCTTCTACTACTAGACATGTTGTTTGGCTTTACTCCCTAGTAACTTTATAAGACTGACCTTAACATTTTCCATGGTTTGAATTCTTTGGGTAGAATTTGTACCCAAAGATAAGAGCGTTTTTATGACTCTTGATATAAAGCACCAAATTGCGTTCTCAGTTGTCCCCAGGGTCAGCGCTGCTGATATTTTTGACTGCTTTACCCAGCAGCGGAGAGAACCATTGCTTGGTCACTCATCTAACAGCTGATCATTTTTCTTCTCTACCGGTAATACTTCAGATTCTGTGCTGTGGCGGTGTGAATCCTTTGCCCAGTGGTTTGTAGGAGCTCCTAAAGAAGATGTTAACCTTTTCGCTGTTACTTTTGCCTCAAGTGTTTCTTCCCCATTTTTTGTTTGCTGTCTCTGCTACACATTTGGAAACGTTAATTTAAAAAAAATTTTTGTGTGTGTGAGACAGACTCTTGTTATGTAGTTCAGCCTGGCCTTGAACTCACAGCGATCCTCCTGCCTCAGCCTCCCGAGTGCTGGGATTACAGGCGTGCGCCACACGAGACCAGCCTGGGCTACGTAGTGAGTTCCAGGTCAGTCTCAACTACATAGTGAGACCTTGTCTCAAAAAACCAAAAAAACAAAACAAAATAAAACGGATGTGTGCCACTGCTCCCAGTGGAAATGTTAATTTTTCGTGGACTCAAATCTGTCCATCTTTTCTCCCTTCTCACTTTAAATAGTCTCGTGCTCTTCAGAGATGTGCTGAGCTACTGCAAGTGCCGGTTTTCTTCCATCTCCAAGGATGCTTTGCTTGTTTTAAAATTCATACTGCTGCACAGCGTCACACGCAAACCTCCAAGGCCTGCCCCGAAGCCCTGCTCTCCTGGGGGCCTGCGCTGGCCCTTTCCTGCAGGCCTCAGCTGTGCTCCTGGTGGCTGTCACTGAGCAGGTGTCTCAGCCATGTCCTCTCCCTCCCCAGATCATGACCAACACCGGGAAGGTGCAGCAGAGGGGACAGGCCAGCGTGCAGCGGAGTGGGGGCGAGCCCCTGCGCAGACCCGTCACCCCCGGCGGCCACAGGACCGGGTGCCCCGTGTAAGTCGGGCTCAGGAGGCTGCTCGCCTGGGAGCCACTTTGTATCCCTGCTGCGCAAGATGCATGTGTTTAAAATGCAAAATAAAGCCTTGGTGTTGGAAAGCATTTATCTCTTCATCCTTCCTCTTCTGAGCACTTGCGGAAGGAAGTAGGTGGAGCTTCACCCCCTACCCTACCTCCAGATTTCTTCCAGGACGAGAAGTCGGCCCATGACAGGATTTCCGGGTCCTTTCAGAGGAAAGGAACCAAAACGTGGTGGGACCGCCTGGGTGGGTTTCTGTCTGTCCTTCTCTGCAGCCTCCCACCGCATGGGCGCCCGGTGCGGGAGCTGCATGGTTAATTAAGACTCCAGGTCGAAGGCAGGCGTGGTGGCGCACTCCTGTGTTCTAGCACCAGGAGGCTGAAGCAGAAGGATTTCTGTGAGTTGGAGGTCCTGCTCAGGCCTGTCACAAAGTGAGTTCAAGGTCAGCCTGGAATATACAGCAGAACCCTGTCTCAAAACACACACCACACACACACACACCACTCCAATCTGTTTTAGATGACTTTAAAGCACCCCTGTGGGACGGGTGTGGCTGAGGAACAGAGAAGGCGCCTGCCAGAAATGAAGCTCAAATTCCACATCCAGCACTAAAAAAAAGCGGAAGTGGGAGAGTAGCTCTGTGCAGCCCTGCTGCCAGGCACCTGTGCAATCCAGCCTTGCCCCTACACACACACCTCCAATCTGTTTTAGATGACTTTAAAGCACCCCTGTGGGACGGGTGTGGCTGAGGAACAGAGAAGGCGCCTGCCAGAAATGAAGCTCAAATTCCACATCCAGCACTAAAAAAAAGCGGAAGTGGGAGAGTGTAGACTCCTGCCCTGTGCGCTCCATGCCTGCCTCGGCCACTGGGGATGCAGTATCCCGGCCCCAGCTCCCGCAACCCCTGTGCCTGCCCCAGATCTGCCCTGCACAGACTACAAGGCCTGCTGTGGCTCGGGCTCTGGGATCTTCTTTGATTTGACTCCAAAATCAGTTATGAGAAGCTTCCAACTGATGACTCGAGATAGGCTCTCTTCTCTCTTACAGCACAAGACCAGTTTTTATTTTCTTTTGGTATCTTTTTTCTTTTCTTTTTTTGGTTTTGTTTTGTTTTTGTTTTTGTTTTGGGGGTGTGTTTTGTTTTTTGTTGTTGTTGTTGTTGTTGTTTTTGGTACCGGGGATCGAACTCAGGTCCTTGCACTTGCAAGGCAGGCGGTGGAACCGCTAAGCTAAATCCCTGGCCCTTGTTTTGGTTTTTGAGACAGGGTCTCACTATGTAGTTGAGACTGACCTGGAACCCCCTACATAGCCCAGGCTGGTCTCAAACTCGCAGTGATCCTCCTGCCTCAGCCTCCCGAGTGCTGGGATTACAGGCGTGCGCCACCACGCCCTGCTCTTTTTTTTCTTTTTGAGACAGGGTCTCACTATGTGGCCCAGGCTGGCCTGGAACTCATGAAGATTCTCCTTCCTCAGCCTCCCAGTGCTGGAATGACAGGAGTGCACTGCCACACCCTGCTTTAAATTATTGGTTTGTTTGATTCCGGGGATCAAAGTCGAGTCCTTGTGCTTGCAAGGCAAGCGCAGGAACCAATGAGCTAAATCCCCAGCCCCCATATTTTTAAAAATAATTCAAATCCCGGCTCCCCAGAGAAGTAACTATGACATAAGGTCATTTCGGAGATACAGATAAAGGGAATCCAATAGCTACGGGATCCAACTCAGGGCACAGTTCGTTTTTGGCCCAACATCCTGCCCTGTGAAGATACCGAGGATGCTTTTCCAGGCCTGCGAGCTCCCCGTGCCAGATGACTAAGTGCCGGAGACTGTCCATCTGTCCGTCTGCCCAGCCACCTGGGACCCGGCTGCCAGTCACAAGCGCCCCCCTGGAGTGGTGGCCGTGCCACCCCCTTCCGGGTGGAGTCAACAAATGCCTTTGTGCTCTGTGCGCCTGGTGGGTGGGGCGCTTGGGACTGGGGTGCAGGAATCTCTGAGATGGGTTCAGCCCCTCAGAAGGTCAGAGCAGCCCATACAGAACAGAAAGGGTTAGAACTGTACCTGGGGGTACAGTGATCCGGGCTCATCCTCCAGGAAAGCCAAAAAACCAGAAAACCTAGTCCTTTCGGAGTCATTCTGCTGACTACAGTTTTACATTGAGAAGCAATCATTTCTTCACAGCTATATGTGCAAGGGTATTTATTACAGTATTATTTATGAAGCAGAAATCTACATCCTCGAAGTAGGAGGCTGGTTATATAAAGTATGATGTTAACCAGGTATGGTGGCACATGGGAGGCTGAGGCAGGAGGGTCACCACACATTCTAGGCCAGCCTGGGCTGTGCAGTTCAAGGCCAGCGGAACTACAGAGCGAGACCCTGTCTCAAAAATCAAAAAGTTTCTAATGCAGCCACGTGAAATAGTATTGATAATGATAACAGTACTTAGAAAACTATTCAGGTACACAGGAGGAGCTGCCAGGAACTACAGAGCGAGACCCTGTCTCAAAAATCAAAAAGTTTCTAATGCAGCCACATGAAATAGTATTGATAATGATAACAGTACTTAGAAAACTATTCAGGTACACAGGAGGAGCTGCCCATAGATTCTGGGTAGAAAAACAAACTATAAGTGGTGTCGAAGTACCATGCTACCTACTATAGTGATCCCATTAGTATTTTTTAAGTATATACTTGCATTTTTAAAGTACCAAAAAGATATCAAATGTTGTGTGTGTTTGATTGATACTGGGGCTCAAACTCAGGGCTTTTACACCGAGCTGCATCCCCAGCCTTTTTTATTTTATTTTTTACCTTGCAACAGGGTCTCTAAAGTTGCTAAATTGCTAAAGCTGGACTCTGAGTTGCATCCTCCTGCCTCAGCCTCCAGACGTGCTGGGATGGCTGGCATGTGCCACCATGCTTGGTAAAAAAGTAACCAATACTAAGTGGCTGAGCTCAGAGATGGGGTGGCAGATCCTTCTGCGTGTGCGTCACTCAGTTTCTCCAGATGAGCACGGACTGGGTTCATCATTGGGAACAGAACGGTAGCAGATAAACACAGCACACAGGCCCCCAGCGCCCTCACAGCCCAGCCTGGCCTCCCGGCTCTGGGTGCCCTCTGTGCCATCTCTGCCCGCCTGTCACCTCTTGCGGGAGGCCTTGCTGCCTGGTCCCCACCCAAGGACCCTCAGCCCCCAGGCTGCTGCTGGGTCCCCAAGGACCCCCACTCCGCGCCTGTTCCATGAGGGTCCCAGCCCTCCTTCCCCAGGGCCCCTGGCCCGGGCCTCTCTCCCTTTCTCCCTCTCTGCCCCGAGGGCCTCCCAGCACCTTCCCTGCCTCCACGGCAACCGTCCTGGCACTGACTGCCATTTCTTTGTCCCCATCTCCATTGCAGTCAGGCTAAATGCCTGGCCTGGCCACAGGGCCTTCCCAGTCACCAGGGACCCTGCAACCTCACTGGGGGCCGGAGGGCTCCATTGTGGAGAACCATAGATCCGCCCCTCCGCCATTTTATGATGTAGCCTATGAAGCCATTTTGTATTAGGTTTAGTTTTCCTGTAGATCACATGATATGTTCCCGTGGGTGTTTGATGTATCCTTATAAGGTAATAATCTGTTCTCTGTATGCTGATTGGTTGCATTATGGTATATATGTTGCCACCCCTTCTGGGCGCTAGAGAGAGAGCGGGGTAGAGATCTGGAGATGAGGAACTAAAGTAAACTCCTTGTGTATCAAGTGTGTGCCTCTTTGCTAGCGCGTCGCCAGTTCAGGCCCCCTGTAGTCGCAGACCGAGTTGCCCAAGGCAATCCGGCTCGCGACACTCCATCTTTGTGTGGTGCCGTAAGACTAAAATACTACAGTATATATATTTGAGCCAGGTGTGGTAGCGCATGCCTGTGATCCCAGCACTCAGGAGGCTGAGGCAGGAGGATCACAGTGAGTTTGCGGCAGCCTGGGCTACATAGCAAGGCCCTGTCTTGTGCTTGCCTGCTTCTGGTCACCAAAAGGACAGCCATTCCCTGGCTGTATTCGTCCCTCCACCGCACTGTCTCATCCCTGGCAAACCCGAAGCTGTGTACCTTAAACTGTTGGCTTGAAGTGTCACAGACCTGTGTCACCCAAAGCTGTAGGACAGGCTTCTGTGTTAGAAATCTAAGCCTGGCTGGGTGTGGTGGCGCACTCCTGTAATCCCAGCCCCCAGGAGGCTGAGGCAGGAGTATCACCAAGAGTTCGAGACCAGCCTGGGCTACATAGTGAGTTCTAGGTCAGTCTCAACTACATAGTGAGACCCTGTCTCAAAAAAAAAAAAAAAAAAAAAAAAAATCACTCTGTACTGGGGATGGAACTCAGGTCCTTGCACTTGTGAGGCAGACAGTGGCACCACTGAGCTAAATCCCCGGCGCTGATATATTTGGAATGCTACCCAGTAGCCATCAGTCGATTTGTCAAGTCTGCATAATTCTCACTGTTTTTCATGCTTCATTGCAGGTTTGAGGACCATGCTTCTCCCCAGAATTTGAAACCAGCCAGAAAACAGTCCCCACGGGCCCTGCCGGCCACGCCCAGGCCCGCTACGCACAGCGCCACCCACCCAAGTGAGAAGCCACGGCCTGCTGCCCGTTTGAGACTTGACTCAAAATTTTTAGAAATAGATTTTAAAAGGGACTAGGGATGTAGCTCACCGTAAGGGCCCTAGGCTCAATCCCCAAACCATTTTGTTTGTTTGTTTGTTTGTTAGTACTTGGGGATTGAACCTAGAGTCTTTGCACTGAGCGACATCCCCAATCCTTTTCAAAGTTTTCTTTTTGAGATGGGGTCTTGCTAAATTGCCCAAACTTGCTTTTTTTTTTTTTTTTTTTTTTTTTTTTAGGGTCTCACTATGTAGTTGAGACTGACCTGGAACTCACTATGTAGCCCAGGCTGGTCTCAAACTCACAGCGATCCTCCTGCCTCAGCCTCCCCCAATGCTGGGATTACAGGCATGCACCATCAGGCCCAGCATTTGCCCAAACTTGCAATCCTCCTGCCTCAGCCTCCCAGAGTGCTAAGATTAAAGGTGTGCGCCACCTCGACCGTCTTCACACCCTTCTTAAAGCAACCTATCAGTGTGGCTCTGTGGCTAGGGCCTCAGCACCTCAGGCTCTGGTGCTGAGGGGGTCAGGTGGGTTCAAAGGCTGCCCCCTCCACCTCCATCAGAACAGGAGCTCCAAGATCCAGGCAGCTGTGACACCGGAGACTGATGGGAGTCGAGTTATTTTTTATATTTCTGGAAGAAATAAGTATCTTGAATGAGAAATGTACAAAGTATTTGTTTTTCATTTTTGAAAGGAAATCGAAAGTTCGGGCGAGCAGCCTGGGTAAGCCTCCAATTTCCACTTCAATAGGAAAACACAGCCGCAGCTCAGATGCTGGGGGACATCTGAGACCTGGTGAGGCTGCGCTGGGTCCGAGGTCCAGAACTGGGAAGGAATCCTGGAGGGGCTCGGAGTGAGGGGCTCCTCACCTGAGCGCCTCAGAGGTTTCGGCAACTTTGCTCATGGGTTATTTTGCGTGAGTTTCGAGTTGTGAATATTACTTTGCTTTAACCACAGGAGCAGCTCGGTCATTTATCAGGGTTTTCCCCGGCCAGGTGGAGGTCGTGCGGGGTCGAATCCCTTCTGCCCGTCCCATTACCCATCACCTGCCACGGAGTTCCTGATGCTTCGGAGGCAGCCTGCTCTTCTCCGCACAGCGGATGGCTGCATCGGGAGCACCCTAGTTTAGGTTTAGCCAAGCGAGCGTCAGGCGGCCCCTGTCTTTGTACTGATTGTAAAGATGATCGTGCGGGCTGTGTGTGGTGCTGGGCATGGAGCCAGGCAAGCGCGGTGCCACTGAGCTGCACCCGGGCCGACTGTGTCCCTCCGAGAGAGCCGAGTACTGTCCCCTGGAGTGTGGCGGCCCTGGATCCTGCAGTGGTGGCTGCTGTCCCAGTGTAGATGTAGTTGTTTTTGAGAACAGCTGACTTCAGCCGCACGAAATCAGGGCCTTGGCGAATTCTGATTCCTCATGTGAGTACTGTGGTGCCCCCAGGGCGTTCACCGTGCCGGTCACGGGGTGCCCAGGGAGAGGCCCCAGCTGCTCACCAGCTTCCAAGGTGGGCAAATCCTGCTTTAAATGCACGCTGTTCACCTGCGGTGTGCTGGGCCCACAGCCCAGTGGTCCTCTCCTTGCACCCTTGCTGGCCCACCGCCCGGCTGGGCCCCAGGCTCCCTGCGGTCTCTTCCCCTCCGCCTCCACTACCCCCAGCCCTGCCTCTGCCTCCCGAGTGCTGGGATTACAGGCCTGTGCCACCATACCAGACAGAGTTCTTTTGGAGAAGTCAGACCTCCAGGGTTAGCTTTCTGCACGCTCCCCAGTATAGACACCACCCTTCCTGCACCCACTCGGCCTGCCCGGTCCCCAGACTCCCCACACCTTGTGCCTTGAAGGATGGGTGGAGCGATGCCTGCTGGGGGCTCCCTCCTGCCATCACCAGTGCTGCCCTCAAAGCCAGGTCTGAGCAGCCAGCAGCCAGGCTGTGGCTCCAGTGCCGGCAGTGCCGGTTCCTAGGCTGTGTCTGGCTCCCACATAAGGGGCCAGGGCTGCCAGGCCAGGTGGAGGCGGCATGGTGAGCTAGGCTGGCGGCCCTGACTTCGGGTCTCCTGGACCCTGTCTCGATGCTGCTCCACAGTCCCAGGCCTGCAGTGCAGCGGGAGGAAGACAGGAAGCTGGGGAGGAGGCCATGTGGAACTGGAGTACAGAAGCCAGCCTAGGGTGGCACCTTGGGGTCCCCACACAGGTCCCCCGGGTGCCTGGACTGTCCCAGGGCACTCGCCACTGTGAGGCATTGAGGAATTCAGCCAAGCACAGGACCAGGGTGACCTGTGTGCTGGGTGTGAGCTGTGCCAGGGTGGCAGTTGCAACTCTGTCAGCTTAGCTTGGCACAGAGGAGCCGACGCTGGGCAGGGCGGTCCCTGGCCTCCCGAGCTGCCCCCTGTGCCTGGCCAGCAACTCAGCTCCTTCTCCACCAGCAGGCACAGAAGTCACGACAGGCCATCCAGAAGAGCCGCACCTGCCACCCACGGTGACACCCAGCCAGCCAAAGGAGGCACCCCAGGACTCGGGCAGCCGAGAGACCACCAGGTAGGGGAGCAGATGTCACGAGGTCCAGGGTCCCCTCGACAGGCAGTGCTGTACACCCAGGAGTCCAGGACCCCCTGGGACCCAGCCTCCAGCCTCAGAAGCCAAGGAGCTTTCCCTGGCACCTGGAATGCAGAGACAAAACTCCCAGGGGCCCAGGCTGGCCTCAAACTCATAGCGATCCTCCTGCCTCAGCCTCTTGAGGGCTGGATCACAGGGGTGCGCCACTGGTATAGGAGAAATATAACTCCCAATCTGCTAGATGTCACATGTGCCCGAGTTCGTGTCCCCTGAAATTGAACAATAAATTTCAAAGGACAAACGTGGTTCTGAGAAGGAAAGGTTTATTGGGGACTAGGAATGGGGAACAGGGATAGCTCCAGCGAGACAAGAGGCATCCCCAGTGGGTGGCCACTGAGCCCTTTGTCAGGGGTAATTTTACAGCAGTCAGTGTGGGTACAGTGAGTATCAAACTAGAATCAACAAATAGGGCTTCAAGTACAGCAGCTGATCCAACAGGCAAGCAACACAGTAGGGTCCCACGGTGACATCACTAACTCGAGTACACCTGTGACATTTGGGGTAGCAGTGGGTGCAGGTGTCCTGTGCCCCTCTGGAGCCTGGAGCAGGTGGTACCAATCGCAGGAAAATCTGATTTCCATTCTTCCCTTAGGGTCCGGCCATCGTGACTTTGATCTTGAGGCCTTGCTTCCTCAAATGCACCTCCAGGCAGTTTCCGTGTCTCAAGTTTCACTGACTTCCTGCGAGCTGGTGCCTGTCTGACTGTGTATTGATTTGTATCTAATGTGGTTGCCTGCGCCACCCCGCCCCGCTGCCCCCGCTGCTCTGGGTCCTCCTCCGCCTCCTCCTCCCCAGGCTGGCTCTGCCCCTCCTGCAGCTCCTCTGCCCTCACACTGGAGACCCCACAGCGGGGTCTGTCACTGCGCCCCCACGTCTGGCTGGCAGAGCGCGTGTTCCGTGGACATGTAGGAAAAGGGAGACAGAGCAGCTGTATGTGGCCCTGTTGGGCACCTTGGCCCAGTGTCCCCTGGCCTGCTGTCCCTTGTGTCTCCCAGGAAGGGAGAGAAGTGGTGCTGGGCAGGCACCGTAAGGCCCCAGGCACCGCAGACTGGGGACTTGGCAGCCTGGATAACGGCCCTGCCCGTCACTTGTGGCCTGGGGAGGGTGTGACTCTTGCGTCCTGTCCCAGGCCACAATCAGAAGCACATGACGTCAAAGTTCTCGTCCTGCCGCAGACGGGAAGTGGCTCTTTTACAAGCCCGGGTTGAACGTCCTACTCAGGAAATCCATAATCCGGACACTGTTGGGCACTGACATCAGCCACGGCGGAAAATCCCACACCGTGAAACTATTTCACGAACAAGATTATGAAAAATACTGAATTCAGTTGGTCGGCCTGGTGGTGAGCGCCTATAACCCCAGCATTTAGGGAGGCGGAGGAAGGAGAAGCACAAGTTCAAGCCGTACCTGGGCGACTTAGTTAGACCCTGTCTCAAGGTTTTTTTGTTACAGAGCTGGTGTGTTGCTCCGTGGTACAGTACCCCGGGTCTGACTGCTGCCCTCTTCCCTGTGTTCTCTCGCTACCGCCACCCCCTCCGCCACTTCCTGGGGCTGTCCCAGCAGGTGAGCTGTGCGGGGGCAGGAGACAGCTGGTTCCCGGATGAGGAGCAGAGACGCGCAGGGCCCTGCATGTCCCAGCTGTGCCTGCCACGCACCTGAGGGTCCGGGATCCTCAGTGGCCTCCCTGTGACGCAGCGGCCAATGTCCCTCTGAACCCTTTATTGCCCTCCCGACAATGTCCCCATTGAGCTGCTGGCCCCACACCGCAGATAAGTAGCTGCTATCTTCAGGGTGCCTCCCAGTTTACACAGTGCCCAGAGTCACCCTCTTCCCGGGGCCCAGCGCTGCCCGTGCCACCTGTCCCAAGGCAGATACCTGTCCCGGAGGCGGCCACATCCCCGCATGCACTGGGCATCATCACTCTAACCCTGCCTGCCAGGCCAGCCCCTTCCCCTCCTGACCCAGCACAGGCCCGCTCCCTGTCACCTGCAGCCCTCCTGCTGCAGCCCCCGCGGGTGGCCATGGGGAGCCTCTGCCCTGACTCAGGGTCCCGCCCAGGGCAGAGGGGAGCGTGGTGTTTGAGCAGTGACTTGGGCTTCTCCCAAGGAACACAGAGTGGGAGATTAACTTTAAGCAATTGGCTCCTGGGAGAGAGGAGGCGCCACCGAGCATGGTGGTGCGCACCTGTGATCCCATCACCTGGGAGGCTGAGGCAGGAGGATCACTGTGAGTTCGAGGCAACCCTGGGCTATATAGTGAGTTCAAGGCCAGCCCAGACCACATAACAAGATCCTGTTCCCAAAGAAACAAACAAAAAAACCTTACATTAAAAATTTTGTCCGAGGAGGTGGCCATGGTGACACACTTGTAATCCCCACACTTAGGAGGCTGAGGCAGGAGAACTGCCAAGAGTTCAAGGCCCGCCTGAATTGCATAGCAAGACCTTGTCTCCAAAAAGAAGAAAAGAAAGAAAAATATGAAAAAGGGTTTTGAACCAAGTAATACAAGAAAGGAAAAAGAAAAAAGAGAAGGAACAACCTCATTCGCCCAAGCTTCTTGTAGGTACAGGAAGTGTCTGCAAAGTGCTCGCTCACCTCATTATTTTACAACCCATTCAATGGTCAGAGAGCCCAGCCCAGAAAGTCCGAAGAGCAGGAATTTGCAATTAGTGACCTTGGGTCCAGCACCTGGTGCCTTTCTTGGCACACACGTGTTGCTTCAGTGAATAAGGAACAGCAGAGCACAGGGCTCCAGCCCGGAGACGTCTCCCACAGCTGTGCCCAAGGACAGGGACAGGGCAAGGGGTGCGGGAGGCAGAGGTGAAGCACTGAGGACTGGCGGGGCCTGAAAATGCCCAGGCGAAAACACACACAGGCATAGGAGTACAGCATGGCAAATATTGGGGGATTAATATTAGGAATGATATAAAAATAAATTATGCTGGTCGTGGTGGCGCACACCTGCAATCCCAGCACTCAGGAGGCTGAGGCAAGAGGATCACCATGAGTTCAATACCAGCCTGGGCTACAGAGTGAGATCAAGGGCATCTTGAACTGCATAGCAGGGCCCTGTCTCCAAAAAGGTTTTAATTAATTAAAAATTAATTAAAGCCAGGCGTGGTGGCGCACACCTGTAATCCCAGCACTCAGGAGGCTGAGGCAGGAAGATCGCTGTGAGTTTGAGACCAGCCTGGGCTACACAGTGAGTTCCAGGTCAGTCTCAACTACATAGTGAGACCCTGTCTCAAAAAATAAAAATAAAAAGCATCAAGGGCTGGGAATTTAGCTTAGTGGTTCTGCCACCTGCTTCAAAAGCACAAGGACTGGAGTTTGATCTCCGGTATCAAAAAAAAAAAATTTAGAATCAAGGGCCAGGGATTTAGCTCAGTGGTGCTGCCATCTGCCTTGCAAGTGCAGGGTCCCAAGTTTGTCCCTGGTACCAAAACAAAAGCAGAATCAAATCTCCATCTTTTTTAACTTGATTTGAAGGCTTCTTGCCTGAAGTAGGGTCGGTTTTATGCCTTTTCCTAACTTGAACCTGGAGACTTTTCAGACAGTGTCAGTATGAGTTTTCTAATTGTCTTTTGTTTTTCGAGACAGCATCTTGCTGTGCAGTTCAAGCTGGTACTGAACTCACTATGTAGCCCAGGCTGGTCTCAAACTCCCAGCGATCCTCCTGCCTCAGCCTCCTGAGCGCTGGGATTGCAGTGTGCACCGCACGTGGTTTGGCCCCTTGGTTTCCACAGCTGGTGGATGAGGTGTGACCCTGTCTGGAGGGCTCGGTCAGCGTTCAGCATCACTGCGAGGCATCCCATGGCTGCTGTCCCTCACAGCTCCTTTTGCTGCTGAAACAAACTCCTATGCATGTGGTGGCCCAGACACTGCGAATGCGTCTTTCACCAGTCTGTAGGGCAGAGCCTCCCCTTTCCCAGGACCCACATCACTCCTGCCACACTGGCTCCAGACTGGGGCCCTGCTGACCCCTCACACTCGCCACCGGGTGACCCTGGCCACCTCCCACACCCTGTGGGACAAAGTTCTCAGAAATCCTGGCACTGGTGCTGACCCGATAGGAAAATTGGCTCTGCGGAAGCCCAGGGGCACTTGGTTGGCTGGGCCACTTTGTCCCCTCAGCCTTTGGCCCCTGACCTGCTCGAGGGCCAGGAGCCTCCTGTCTCGCTGCCACCCAAAGCCCAGCTTGGCAAGGCCTCAGGAGCCAAAGGTCCATCTGCGACCTTCAGCCTCCCTTGTTGTGCAGCATGACCCAGAAATTGGGACCTGGGTGTCCTTGGGACCTTTATGCTGCTGCTGGGCACACTGTCCTGGCCACACTTTCTGAATGGTGTGTCCCTGAGACCCAGCACTCAGGAAGCTGAGGCAGGAGGATCACCACAAGTTTGAGGCCAGCCTGGGTTGCACAATGAGACCCTGTCTAAAAATAGATCAAATCAATGTTAGTGAAGCCCAGGTGCTGCTCCCCTTGTCTCCCCGTTTGCCTGCAGGGCTGGGCCCCTCCCTGCACAGCCGTGGTGACTCCCTGCTGCCCATGGTCCCTAGGGAACCCCCGCTTCGCTGGCAAGCCCGGGACGGAGGCTGCGCACTCCCGAGACATCTGCACCAGCACCGCAGTTCTCCTCACGTGGCCTTCAGCAGGCCGACCGCCCTGGCTCCTCCTCATCCTCCACCAGGGGCCTGCACAGTAAGTCAGGCATTTTATTTTGGCCTCTTTATTTACTTGTTTTTATTATTTATTTATTGGTGTTCTGAAACAGGGCCTCACCGTATAGCCCGGCCCAGCCTGGAACTCACAGCGATCCTCCAGCCTCGGCTCCTGAACGCACTCTCTGAACCCACCAGGTGGGCAGCTTCCTTGCCCCGGGGACCTCTCCTGTGTTGATCTTTCCTGCTTGTGAAATCGCTGTGTGCCCTGGTGGGGTAAGACCCCCCCCAGGCAGGACCCTCAGGGAAGGACCCCGTCCTGCCCTGCCCTGTCCCGGCAGCCACTTGGCCACTGAGTCAGACAGAAGCAGGTGCCTCCCAGAAGAGTCAGGGCGGGTACAGCGCCACTGTCCCAGGCTTCCCTCCTGCCCTTTGCTCACGATCAGGGCTACCTCTCCATCTTTCTCTGTCCCCTCCCAGCCTCGGCCAGTTGACAGCTTACCCCCGCCACCTCTCCCCTCCACCTGCACTCACCTGTACTCCTAGCACTCAGGAGGCTGAGGCAGGACAATTGCCATGGGTTCGACGGCAGCCTAGACTACATAGCAAGACTCTAGCTCAAAAGAACAAAAATAAAAGCCAAGGTGGGGGAACAATGTCAGGCAGCACACAACGTGCCCACACAGGACATCCACACTCCTGCAATGTCCCTGCCCACCCTGCCCCGCTCCCTTCCGGGCAGGGCCCTGGTGTCTGGCCAGCTGTGGACCCGGCAGGCTGCAGCTGCGGAGAAGCAGCCTTGGCAAAGCCACTGGCCCTAATCCCCCAGGAACCACACGGTGAAGCCCGGCTGCAGTCAGGGCTACTTCCTCCTGGGCCCGGGCAGCACCGGCCACGACGAAGGCCACTTGGCCTGCGTGACCCTCGGGGAGGCCCGCTGTGTCCGTCGCACTGAGCAGCTGAAAGGGGGAATTTTCCAGGATGGAGGGGCTCTGTGCAAGCCCGGCTGGTGCTGGCTGGCGCTGGCATCTCCTGTGCCTCACTCCAGGTGGCCAGTCCTGCCAGAAGTGAGGGCGGCTGCCATCCTGGGTGTCACCATCACATGGCCCAAGGACCGGCTAGCAGCTGCTGGTGACCGAGGAGAAGGGACAGGTGTCTGCAAGACAGCGGGGGGCCCTGCAGCCTCCCAGGAGCCAGGCTGTGAGGCCCCACCATCAGGCAGCACCGCAGGGGACAGGGCCAGGACCGCCCTCCCTAGGGCTGTCACCCGCCACACCCAGGGAGGAGAGAGGCGGCTTTGTTCGGGGCTTCCGGGTCCTTGGCCCTCACAGGCACCTTGAGCAGACAGCATGAGACCAGATGGCCAGCCCCTCCCGGGACCAGTGACAAGGGGTGGCCTCTGGAAGCAAGCTATCCACGGGGACCTGCTGGGGACCCAGATGCGAGGAAGGGAGCCTCCTTGCCACACTGAGTATTTTCCTCTGCTCATAACTCTGCTAACAAATATGATGTATTCGGTGTTCTCAAAGCAGCCATGACCCCTGCACCTGTTTTTAAAGGCCTTAGAAAGTTGTCCAGTTTAATTAATACAGTTTCCCACCCCCCATTAAGACCACAGACACTCTCAGGTGTTGTGGCACACATCTGTGATCCCAGCACTCAAGAGGCTGAGGCAGGAGGCTTGCTGCAAATTCAAGTCCTTCCTGAACTACATAGCAAGATCCTGTCTCAAAAAAGAGAAAAAAAAATAATAATAAAAGGTTGGGGACGTAGCTCAGTGCAAAGGCCCTGCATCTAATTCCCAGTTCTGCAAAATAAGTAATAATTAATAAACAACCACAAACACACGACGCTCCACTCCAGGATGTCAGCAAAGTGAGCAGTGCCTGCCGATTCTTGCTGAGAAATAGAAGGTCTGCGTCTCAGGACAGAGGACAGAAATCTAGCTTCAGAGACATCACGACCCAACAGCACAAATGCTACCCGGCTGGAAAAGCCAGTAAAGCAAACCAGCACTGGGAGCTCTGTGAGCGTGCACGCGTATGTGCGCGCATGTGTGTGTGTGCGCGTGTGTGTGTGTGTGTGTGTGCTCGCACAGGGGGTGGACAGCAAACCGAGGTCCCATGTCACCCCCGGCATCGGATGGGCCAGGCCTGCAGGGTGTGAGCGGGCAGGGCGGGGTCCCAGAGGACCCTGGTGCGACCGGCCTGGCGGCCTCTCCAGTTCCCTGAACACCTGTGCCCCTGCGTGTTCCCAGGGATGCAGCCGCAAGCCAGGGGCACCCGCTGAGCCCCCGCTTGGCGAGTGGCCCAGCACTGGACACAGTGCTCAGCCCACCGTGCAAAGTGGACGGAGGGAAGCGGGCGCCCTGGCCTGGATCCTCCACTCGGGGAGGGGCTGCGCTGAGTGGCACCGGCTCCAGCCCACGGCCCCCGCCCCCGGATTCCTCGGGCTCCGCAGCCTGGCACGGCCTTTCCCTGCCTGCCTGGGGCGGCGGGCACCAGCGCTGGCGGAGTCTCCATGCTCCCCAGGGTCTCCCTGGCACCAAGGCCGCTGCAGTCAGCACCGAAAGCCCACGGGTGAGAGGGGGTCTGACTGGTAAAAGCCGGTTGTTTGGGGAGAAGAAAGGTGAAGTTCCCAACGGCTGGGCTGAGATCCCCCAGCCAGGCCTCCTGCCCCCTGGGGAGGCCTCTCCCGGTTCACCTTCACCTTGCAAGGCTAAACACGTGGTAAAATTCCCACAATCTAGCCAAGTGTGGTGTTGCACGTAAGTAAACCCAACACGTGGGAGGCTGAGGTAGGAGGCTTGCTGCAAATTTGAGGGCAGCCTGGACTACAGAGTAAGACCCTGTCTCATAAAAACAAAACAACCACAACAACAAATAACCCTAAAAACAAAATACCAACAACTTATTAAAAAATAGTCTACTGTTGACTGACTCCCTGGTGATTCACTTGAGGCTGGCTATGAACCTGACCATGTTTAAAAAAGCAAAACATTCTTAAGGGACACCTGGAGATCTCGTTACTCAATTCTCGAGATTTGCCTGAAAAATCCAAGAGACACTAGGAAGTGGGTGTCAGAGTTTCTGAAATAGCTCTAGCCCAGGCGAGATGGGGCCCAGCCGAACTCCTTGGCCACCCTGAACTCCAGCTTCACTCTCTGTCTTATCTGCTTCCCAAGCAGCAAGATGGAGCTGCTAGAGCCAATTGAGAGCAGGCGCTGGGAGGGAAGTGTATGAGGTTTGCAGAGTCCAGGGATCAGACAGTAGGTAGGGGAGGACTTGGCCCAAATCAAAAGAGCTAGATTAACAAATGGGCAAGTGAAATTAATTTAAAAAGATAAACTATCCAATGTAATTTTTAAATGTAATTTTTAAAAAGTCTAGCAGGGTATGGGAGACACACACCTAGAATCCCAGCACTTAGGAGGCTGAGGCAGGAGGAACTCTGAGCTTGAGGCCAGCCTGGGCTACATAAGCAGACCCTATCCCAACAAACGTAAGTCCAACACCAAATTTGTATGACCTCGCCTGATTTGCCCAACCCTAATCTTTTTATTTTATTTTTGTTTGTTTGTTTGTTTGTTTTTGAGACAGGGTCTCACTGTGTAGTTCAGACTGCTCTGGAACTCACTGTGTAGCCCAGGCTGGTCTCAAACTCTCGGCGATTCTCTTGCCTCAGTGCTGGGATTACAGGCGTGAGCCACCATGCCCAGCAATCTTTTTTTTTTCCAAGACAAGGTCTCACTAGGTAGTACAGGCTGTCCTTGAACTCACTATGAAGCCCCGACTGGTCTCGAACAAGCACTGCCATGCTTGGCCTAATCCTAATCTTGGCCCTCGTTCCAATAAAACTTTACAAAAATGGGCAGCTGGTACATGGGCCAGTTTGCTGACTTTATTTATAAAAATATTGCCTTTATCCATTATTTATCTTGATTACTGAGTTGTGGGGTGTCTTGAATTCACAGACCTCTTAAATCCTGCACTAGGTGGTGGGGTGCTTCCTGGGTGCTCCCGGTGGCCTCAGAGCACAGCCTGGCGGTGGCGTGGCTGGGTGTCCAGTCCATTGGCCGTGTCCGTCCCGTCGCTGTCCTAGCGAGCTGCCCTTGGTGCTTGGCTTTTGTGCGTGACCAGCCATTTCCAAAAAAAGGCCAATTCCTCAGCTTTACAGTGGTATGGATGTTAGGATTTAGACCCGGAAGCTCTCCCCATGTTTCAGAGGTGGGGCTTTGGGAGGTGAGCGGTTCACAGGGCCCTGTAGGCATCAGTGGATTTGGCCCTTGACGAGTTCCCAGCCGGATGTGCTGCGGGGTCAGGCCCAGGTGGAGTAGCTGAGTCACTGGGAATGTGACCTCTTCTCTCTCTCCCCCGGGTCCTCCCCACATGCCACTTCTGCCTCAGAGCCAGCCGACCATGGAACTGCACCCTCTGAAATCACGAGCCAAAATATGTAGGAGACCAAGACCCCTGTGTGTCTCCACCCTCCGTATGTGCCCCTCCACCCTGTGTGTATGTGTGCCCCTGATAGGAACTTTACACCCTCCTGGGGACATTCTGACCCCTCCCGGGAACATTCTGGCCATGCCCTACCTTATCTAGCTAGACCAGCCTAGGTTAGGTAACCTAGCAACCAGGAAACTCCCTGCTCATCCCTGCCTGCATAAAAGCTGCTGTGTGAGAAATAAAAATTGTCAAATTTTGACCATCTAAAAGAGCTCTGTCTGGTTCCTGTCTTCCTGTGTCGTTCCCGTTCCGGGTGGTCCCCTCCTCGAGCACTACTAATAACGAACCCCGCCGGCCGGGGCAAAAATAAACCTCTCCTTTATGTTTAAAGTATCAGGGATTCTGTGCAAGCAATGGGGAAGTGACTGACGCAGTGGGTCAGCAGTGCGGATGGGGCTTGGTGGAGGCCGGTGGCCTGAGTGCAGCAGAAGCCTCACTGGTGTGTGGCATCGGCTGTCGGCTGGGTGCTTTTTCTCCAGAGAGGCCTCGTCCTGCAGCAGGCTGGCTGGAGCTTGTTCACACAGTGGCCCTGGGTTCCCACCACAGGAAAACCAAGCCTCCATCCACATCACCACGCTGCACAGCAGGGCATGGACGGGCTGTCCCACCGCGGCTCCACACTCACCTTGCTGCAGGGGGCCTCTTGTTCTTGAGGGGCTTCTGTGCTGGGACGTGGAGACCCAGGCCCCCAGCCTTGAGCTGCTGCCCACCTTCTAGTGAGAATCCTGGCCTCTGGGGACAACCACGGTCCAGGCTGGAGCATGGGCCCGAGGAAGGACGGGCATATTCCAGGAGAATCCTGTGGGATCGGGAAAAGCCGGGACTGGAGAGATCTATCCGGTCACTACACATGGGGTCAGGGCCGAGGAGTGCGGGTGAGGGGACCCAGAGCAGGGGCCCAGAGACGCCTACCTCAGACCGGTCGGGGATCGCAGAGCGGGACAGGAGGGGCAGAGCCTTGGCCAGCGGACACCTAGCAGAGTGGGCAAGGGAAGGAGCCGGAGGTGAGGCTTCAGGGTCACAGGTCACCGAGCAGGTGGGTCTGGAGCTGGTGCCTGAGCTGCGGGGTGGGGGCTGCAGCAAGGCCTGGGACCGAGACCCTGAGGGGATCAGAGAGCAAGGGGCCCCCGGAGCCCTTCTGTCACCCGGGCAGGAGGCAGCGGTGTGCTCACGCCAGCCCCAGGAACTGATCACACTATGCGGGGCGCACCCATCACCCCAGCTCTTGGGAGGCAGAGGCAGGAGGATGGCCAGTTGAAGCCCAGCCTGGGAAAGCTAGCAACTTCGTGAGACCCTGTCTCCAAATAAAAAAATAGAAAGGGGCTGCGGATGTAGCTCAGTGCGAAGGCTCTGGAATCAGTCCTCAGGGTGGGGGAGAATCATCACTGAATTGTTCTAAATAGAGCCACTAACAAAACTTAATCTATAAGGGTACAATTCAATAAGTTCTATTAAAACAAAGGGGTCAAGAGCTAGGGATTAGCTCAGTGGTTCCACTGCCTGCCTCACAAGTGCGAGGTTCTGAGTTTGATCCCCAGTACTGCAAAGAAAACAAACAAATGGATACTAAACACTCAAAGCTTGTCTCCTAATTATTCTTTTAACTTTATTTTGTTTTGTTTGTTTGTTTGTTTTTTTCCTGTTTGGTGTTTTGAGACAGGGTCTCACTGTGTAGTTGAAACTAAGCTGGAACTCACTACGTAGCCCTGGCTGGTCTCAAACTCACAGCGATCCTCCTGCCTGTGCCTCCCGAGTGCTGGGATTACAGGTGTGCACCACTAAACCCAGCTGTTTTGTTTTTTTAAGAGTAGGAAAAATTTATTGAGAGAAAGCTTCTAAGACAAAAGGGGTACCAGAAAGTGCTTTGCCTGCCCACCCACTTCTAAAAGATGTTTTATACATCAAAGCCATGAGGTGAGGTGTGTACAAAATGGAACAAAACTATAGACCCAATGGGAAAATAAAAAGTCCCAATGGAAGCCAGGTGTGGGGGCGCATGCCTGTAATCCCAGCACTCCGAGGCTGAGGCAGGAGGATCACTGTGAGCTGAAGACCAGACTGGGCTACATAGTGAGTTCCAGGTCAGTCTCAACTACATAGAGAGAGCCTGTCTCAAAAAAAAAAAAAAAAAAAAAAAAAGACCCAATGGAAAATTACAAGGTGGGCATGAGGTGGGGCCAAAC